AGCAGCAGCAGCAGCAGCAGCAGCAACCGCTGCAGCAGCAGCAACAGCAGCAGCAGCAGCAGCAGCAGCAACAGCAGTCGTTCCTTGGCCCTTAGAAATCCCTCCAGCAGTACCATCGCCCGTAGGCCTAAACCCTAAACCCTAAACCCTAAACCCTAAACCCTAGACCCTAAACCCTAAACCCTCGAGGCAAACGAACAAGTAAAACGATCGGTGAAATGAGGGTTTAGGGTTTTGTCTACTAGGAGATGAAAACCCCCGCCACTGTATATTGCGTTGCTGCTGCTGCTGCTGTTGCTGCAGCTGCTGCTGCTGTTGCTGCTGCTGCTGCAGCTGTTGCTGCTGCTGAGAGCAGCAGACTTTGCTGCCTCTAACAACAGCAGCAACAGCAGCAGCAGCAGCAACAGCAGCAGCAGCAGCAGCAGCAGCAACAGCAGCACTTTCTGTTGCTGCTTAGCATCCCCCTCTCCTCCCCCTCCCTAACCGCCAAACCCTAAACCCTCGCCCCTCCCCCCAAAACCTAAACCCTAAACCCTAAACCCTAAACCCTAAACCCTAGAGCAGGAGCTGCCTGGTGAGGGGGAGAGAGACAGCGTTGCATCTGCCCTCTATATATTTTATGTTTCCGTTTGTGGGGGCCCTAAGAATATCGACTAAACCTGAAAAATATAAATTTTTTATATTTGTTCCTTCTCCTGCTGCTGCTGCTGCTGCTGCTGCTGCTGCTGCTGCTGTTGCTGCTCTTGCTGCTGCTGTTGCTGCTGCTGCTGCTGCTGCTGGGTTTGATTCTGCTGCTGCTGAGCTCCCTGTGTCTCCTGCAGCAGCAGCACCTGTTGCTGCTGCTGCTCCTCCTCCTGCTGCTGTTGCTGCTGCTCCCGCTGCTGCTGTTGCTGCTGCTCCCGCTGCTGCTGTTGCTGCTGCCCCCGCTGCTGCTGCTGCTGCTGCTGCTGCTGCTGCTGCTGCTGGGGGTTTTTCTTCTGTTTTGAAATGCAGTGATTTGAGTGCTTCTGTCGGCGGCGTTAAACAAATCGATCGGCGGATAGCAGCATCCCTGCAACCACAAACCCTAAACCCTAAACCCTAAACCCTAAACCCTAAACCCTAAACCCTAAACCCTAGAGTAAAAACAAAACCCTAAAGTAAAACACCTATAAACAGCAGAAGGGTCTTTGGATTGATCTCCTTAAACATACAACACTACACACAACACCTAAACCCTAAACCCTAAACCCTAAACCCTAAACCCTAAACCCTAAACCCTCGAAATATTTTACCTTGCTACGATGGCTGCAACTTTTCTTTGAGCTGCAAAAAAATCACTGATGCTGAGAGAGGCGAGAGAAGCAGCAAGAGGGTCTAGCTGCTGCGGTTTGTCTTGCTGCAGTTTGCTGCTGCTGCTGCTGCTGCTGCTGCTGCTGCTGCTATCCTCTGTGCTGCTACCATTACAACCACCGCTGCCGCTGCTGCTGCTGCTGCTGCTGTCTCTGTCTGCTGCTGCTGCTGCTAGAGACAGCTGGCGTGCTGCTGCAGGTACACCCCATAAAGACAAAACAGCAGCAGAAAGAGAAATGTATGAATCTGCTGCTGCTAGTGTCTTTCTTATTTCAACGCAGAGGCAGCAAGCAGCATCAGAAACACCGTAGAGAGGGTGCTGCAGCAGCACCCGCTGCTGCTGCTGCTGCTGCTGCTGCTGCTGCTGCTGCTGCTGTGTATATATATCACCGCTGCTGCTGCTGCTGCTGCTGCTGCTGCTGCAGCGGCGAAATGTTGATAGGCTGTCTCGGAGTCCTCTTGCTGCTCCGCTAGCAGCAAGCTGTCGGCTTGTAGCATACCCAACAAACCAGTTGCTGCTGCTGCTGCTGATGCTGCTGCTGCTGCTGCTGCTGCTGCTGTATCTCCACATCTGCTTCTGCTGCTGCTGCTGCTGCTGTATGCGGCAATCACACAGACAGAGCAGCTGCTGCAGCGGGGGGTCCAGGCGGTAAGAAGTAGTAACCCCAGCCAGGCTATGCAAAGAAAACCCTGCATCCTGCAGCAGCAGCAACAGCAGCAGCAGCAGCAGCAGCAGCAGCAGCAGCAGCAGAAGCGGGGAAGCAGAATGAGAAGGTGTTGTGGTAGTGACACCAGCAGCAGCAGCAGCAGCAGCAGCAACAGCAGCAACAGCAGCAGCAATTTATAAAAAGACAGCTTATTGGCACGCTATACAGCAGCAGCAGCAGCAGTAGCAGCAGCAGCAGCAGCAGCAGCAGCAGCAGCAGCAGCAGCAGGTTACTGCATGAGTATCTGTATCTTGTTTCTGCTGCTGCAGCTGCAACCCATAGGCTGTATGCATTGCTGCTGTTTGTGCTGCTAAGCGAAGTGCATGCGGCTCTGCTGCAGCAGCAAACAAAGCCCCAACAGCTAGCGACACCATGCGGTGTCTCTTCTCTCCTATACACACACAGCAGCAGCAGCAGCAGCAGCAGCAGCAGCAGCAGCAGCAGCAGCAGCAGAAAATTGTGCTTTGTTAGCGTTCAGGTAAACCTCCTCCTGTTGTTGCTGCTGCAGAGAGAAGGCTGAGGGTTCGTTAGGGTTTAGGGTTTAGGGTTTAGGGTTTTTTAGGGTTTAGGGTTTATAGATATTTAAGGTTTAGGGTTTAGGGTTTAGGGTTTGAGAGTTTGCCTGCTAGTAGCCTGGAGAGTTGCTGCAGCAGATGGGGTCTTTCTGCTGCAGCAGCAGCAGCAGCAGCGCCAGTTGTATCAGCAGCAGCAGCAGCAGCAGCAGCAGCAGCAGCAGCAGAGTGATGAGGCAAAGACAGCCGCACGAGAAAGGAGACGGTGTCTGTGACGAAGCAGCTACGCAGCATAGTTGCTGCTGCAGGTGTAGAAGCAGGAGCAGCAGCAGCAGCAGCAGCAGCAGCAGCAACGCATGCACGCCGCTTCTGCTCTGTTGCAGCAGCAAGACGATAAAAGGAAACAGCAGCAGGAGGGCAGCTGTATAGACACCGCGAGGGGGGGGGAGGGAGACAGAAAAAACGCACAAACAAACAAACACAAAGCAAACCATACACACTCATAGAAGAGCTTTCTGCTGCTGCTGCTGCTGCTGCTGCTGCTGTTGCCTGCATCTCCACTCGAGCCAATAACCCTAAACAAACAAAAAAAAAAAAAAAA